CATTTTCTTTGTGTCCACGACTGTTGTCTGTAATACAGACATCACTTCAACCTAGGCCTGTTTTCAATGATACAACAGTTCTTTCATATGCCATGGAATATTGAGTAGAGACATGTATTACTACAGTATCCGCTGCGTTTCATGAACCCAGTTTCAAGTGCTGCTGTTAAAATCTTAATTGTGGCGTTGCCTTTTCCTTCTGACAATGGTTTATGTTGCCCTTTTTCATTAAGGCATGTAATTGGACGAATTGTGATTGGGTAGCACAAGTACCTTAATTATAAACCGCTCACTGTGTTTACAAACAAGTTAGTCACTCCAAAATGGTATTACATGCAGTCAAAAAGGTCCTGAAAGAAATTGCTCTCTCAGGTGCCGCTCTGAAAATCTATGTACATCCACATTTATTTTTTTTTAATTCTCTTGTAGTTTTTACAATTGGCAGAAAACAATCAATGATTATGGGGTTTAGGTTTAGATTAAGTAATTTTCCTTTTTTTTTCCTTTTTTTTTGCCTGTGATTCCAGAGATTAGGATAAAATGTAATTTATTTACAGCAAGTCTTTGGTTTTAACCATTAATGTAATTTAATCACAGTTTTCTCCAGATGGTTTCGACAGATTTGTTTCGTATTTTGACTAACCCTACGTGACAAATACGTACATTCTTGATAACAACTTATTCTTGATAAACATAACCAATTGTGAACTTATTCTTGATAAACATAACCAATTGTTGTCTTTCTGGTTTTCAGGATGGATGAATCCAGTTTATGCCTTGGTGTGCCCTCAGCAGTTCCTGATGCTGACGCCCATCTGAGCAATGCAATCTTGAATGGTCGATACCCAATCAGTCAAAAGCTCCACCAACTCACTAACCAGCTGGAACACACCTTTCCTGACCTTCATCGCTCTCAGCAGATCACTGAAGAGAAAGTAGCCACCCCTTTGGAGGACAAAATTAATAACGCAGCCCTGGCTGGTCAACCAATCAGCAGCCAGATGGCCCTGTTAGCCAATCAACTCAACAGGGACATTGATGCAGGAGCACTGAGTGGGCTGAATGGGCGGGTGGACTTGCAGCAGTTTCTCAATGGACAGAACCTGGGGATCATGTCTCATATGAATGATATTGAAGATGACACACGAAAAAACAGAAAGTATCCCTGCCCACTGTGTGGCAAACGCTTTCGCTTCAACAGCATCCTGTCTCTGCACATGCGTACTCACACAGGTGAGAAGCCCTTCAAGTGCCCGTACTGTGACCACCGTGCAGCCCAGAAGGGCAATCTGAAGATTCACCTCCGCACCCATAAGCTAGGTAACCTCGGTAAAGGACGGGGCCGTGTCAGAGAGGAGAACCGGTTGCTGCATGAGCTAGAGGAGAGGGCCATTCTGAGGGACAAACAGATGAGAGGGAGTGGTGGTCTCATTCAGACCCCTCAAACGCCTCATTTGGGCCTTAACAACAGTAACAACACCAGTCAGCCACAATTGGGATCCTGTGGAATTGCTCCTCCATCTGGCATCACCACGCCAGACACAGTTTCCCAGCCATCTTCTTCTCCCAAGTCCACTACAACCCAGGATGAACATTTCCTCAGCCCAGCCACAGGGTTTCGCTGCACCTTCTGCAAAGGGAAATTTAAGAAGCGTGAAGAGCTGGATCGTCATATTCGCATTCTCCACAAACCCTACAAATGCACCCTGTGTGAATTTGCTGCTTCTCATGAAGAGGAGCTGATAAACCATGTAGAAAAGGCCCACATCACTGCAGAGCCTGCGCAGGGTCAGGGTGCCGGAGGTGCTGGGGGTGTGCAGACGGCCACTGAGTTCCGTTGCGACATTTGCGGACAGGTGTTCAGTCAGGCATGGTTCCTTAAAGGACACATGCGTAAGCACAAGGACTCTTTCGAACACTGCTGCCAAATCTGTGGCCGTCGCTTCAAAGAACCATGGTTTCTCAAGAATCACATGAAGGTCCACCTGAATAAGTTAGCTATCAAATCCAAACCACCTCAGCCAAGCGAGCAGGAACTGTCTGCTGTCAACAGCATGAGTAGTCTTGCTCAGGAGGCTCATGCTAATCTTTATTCCCGGTATATCTCCTGTCTTCAAGGTGGATTCCTATCCCCAGACAAACAAGGTCTAAATGAGCAGCACCAAATGCTGGCCAAAGCAGGAATAGCCATGAAAGAAAGAGAGATGCTGGGGAAGTTGCTGGGACCTATGGCAAGAAGTATGGGCCATGCACTCGGTGAAAATGAGAAACAGTCACTTCTTGGTTGTCTACATTTAGTGCCACCGCTGAAATCCAGCTGCATGGAGCGTCTACAGGCAGCTGCTAAGGTGGCAGAAATGGATTCTCTCAGCAGCTACCAAGCATGGCAGATTATGGCTCGTGGAACAGCATTAGACCGTGCTTTCATGCCTAAGGAGCAGCAGCACATCACCCAGGGGCAGGAAGAGGAATTGGGCAGTGTTGGGGCCTTGTCTTCCATTACTAAGGACAAGCAAGACTACTCCTCAATTCCTTCCAATGATAGCTCTAAGCAAAAACAGCTCTCAGAAGCCTTGCAGGGATCCAAGACCTCCAGTGGATCCATGATGACCATCAAAGAGGATGGAAGAGGCTTTGATGGCCACCATGACTTGTCATACCACAGTAGTGCAGAGACTCCAGGAGCTCTGGCCGGCTTAGGAAGCCCCAACATTGACTATAGCCTCTCTGGTCTGAAGGAGAAACCTTCAGAGTGCCCTGACTGTGGCCGAATCTTTAGGACATACCATCAAATGGTTGTCCACTCCCGGATCCACAGCAAAGACAGAAGAAGCATGGATGAAGTACTCCAGCAGCAAGGACTGGATGAACGCCGTGGATCCGCCAGTGATCCTGAGTCCCAGTCCATCAGCCGCTCTACCACTCCAGGATCATCCAATGTGACGGAGGAGAGTGGCGCTGGAGGTCACTCCCACACAGGAAGTGTCCAGGATGACAGCCCGCACCCTTCCTCACCATCTTCAGGTAGGAAACAAAATGTCCTATAATTTTGGTTATATTCTATATTACAAATATAATCCTCATAAAATACTGAGGTTCATTGAACCAGCAACAAAATTATCATTTTTGAGTGAAATTATTGCATCCACCCAATTTGCAATTTGGCATAGCTCTGGACAATTTGATTTGGCATGTGAGAGGGTACCTAAAAAATAAGCACAACAGATCCTGTTTTTAAAATGAACCGCAGCCGAATTATCATGTACAGTGGGATTTTGGAAGGAAGCGCAGCCGAAAACGGGGGTCAAATTATCATGTACAGTGGGATTTTGGAAGTACAGATCAGACGTCTCACAGAGGGTCAAACACAAAAATGACCCTATACTTGGCAACACTGGTACAGAAGTCCCCTTCCTTTGAATCATGGTATGTCTGTGTTATTGGTATTGATTTTGCAAGCTTGGTTTATTTAATGCCCTCAAGTTACTCTGAGTTACTCACTAAAATGATCAGGTTCGCTTGAGTTCCTCGAGTCTTACATGGTGTTGTTCAGAGCGACCTAGTGGTAAGGACACATCAAGCTACAAAAGTAGTGTAGGGGTGAGAATAGTGATGGTTCTATAAAACTTTTTATAGAAAATGTCCAATACCAATACTGCAACATGGAGTATCTGCGGATACCGATAACTGATCTGATTTTCTCCTCCAGCATCCCACTGGCTACTTTTGCTGAGGCGATAGTGTACCTGTTTACACTGGCATGTTGTGCAAAGTTAAGTTAAGCATTTGGGCTTAGGTTTCAGACTGAATGGGCTTAAGATGTTTTTTTTACGATGATTGGTCCTGAAACTTTGACCAATATCAGACCTATAGCGATCCCGAGAATCGGATCAAGCCATCCCTAATGTCGAGTTACATGCTCACTGTTGGACGAAGACTGTGTTTCTGTGTAGTTCCACCTCTGTCAGTGTGATGGCATTGTGTGTTGTTGATGTTGTCAGAGTTAGCTGACCCGAAACCCGAACATGTCTCTAATCCCTATGGACTGTGAGTAAAGTGTGAGCAGGCAGATGAGTGTTTTTAATCACAGTGACTATTAAGTGTCTTAAATAAACATGTCGGAGCCCGTCCTTCTCCTCTTTTTGCTACTCTTTTTCCTCCTCTATGTCCTCCACCTCCTCAGTGGTAAATCCGGGCCCAGCCGGGGCCAGATAAGTGTATGTTTAGTGGGATTAAGGGAGGCTCGTTGCTAATGATTACGCAAGTTTTTAAAAGGTAACTTTGGCTGGCTCCTCGGGGCGCTGTTCTGCCGTTAAGTACTAGCTCTGTAATTAGGTCACGACTGCACGATAATGAGTCGGTTTAAGCTAAACAAGACACTAATTAAGGCTATACATATAAAACAGGTCGAGAGGGAGAAAAAAACTGATCTTTTAAGGATGAAGGGGAAAATATAAATAAATATAGATATAAATATAAATCAGAGGAGCTTAGCTTTAGGCTGTGAGTAACTTAATTCTAGCAGCGGAGAGGAAATAGTTTATTTATTCACAGAGGCATAAAGTCCTTATCATGTGAGTGTTGTAGTGTGATGGGTTTGAACACGGCATCGGCGATGTTTATTTTAATCTAAGAAATAATAACAGACAACCCCCCCCACCCCAATTAGGAATTAATGAAAATGAGAGTGAGATAAAAAGTGATTTTCTTTATGGAGACTATTAAACATAACACTTTCACACCAGGGTGGGGGCTGGGGGTGTAATTATCTTCTGAATTTTAATGTTGGAACTTTCTCTCTCCATCTGTGTCTCAGTGTCTGACTCTGAAGCATCCACAGCCTTTTCAAAAAGTGCTTCACATCTCCTGTATTTATTCACTTTACACTCTACACTTTGTCATTTTGAATACGAACAGACACATCAAACAACTCCACTCTTACGTGCATGGCTAACTGTGGGCAGACTTTTCTCATTTTAGGCACAACGTATGCATTTAAAAAAAAATAATGCATATTTTTTTATATTTCAACACAATGTTCTCTGAAATTTTTCTTCTTCTACCACTGAGAAATGTTTAGGCTGACGCTATCAGATGCAGACGGGTCACCACCAGACAGTGGGGCAGTTGATAAAGTACACATATAAAGAGAAACAACAATTCAATTTGAACATTGTAACCATCATAACCTTATCTGCAGGATTTTGGACCATGGTAGGAATTGTAGTATTTGGAGAAACCTCCCACTCTATTCAGAAAGACTATTAGCCAGTAGCCTTCCTCCTGTAATACAAAAGTGCTATAATACAACAGTAATACAACTGTAATACAACAGTGAATATAACTATTCTCCAAACTTTTCCTGTTTAACCACTCTTTCAGCCAATTCATCATTTTATAAGCTTGTAAGTATATTATAGTAATGTCTAGCCATCTTTTAGCTTTTTTTATATAAAAAAAAGCTGTGTAAAGGCTTACTATTAGCTTCTAGCGATTTATTTATACTCATTTATACCACAAATTTGGCTAGCTTACAGTTATTTTGTTTTGCCTACTGTTCATATTTTCAAATTAATTAATTAATTAATTTTCAAATTAATTCTCAGTTATTTTGTTTTGCCTACTGTTCATATATATTTCAATATCAACTATTATTTGGATTAACATATTTTCCGGACTATAAGTCGCTCCGGGGTACAAGTCCCAGCAGTGCCCGTTTGCGGCTGTATGTAACAAACATGTGAATTTATACATTTTAATATATAAGTCGGTGGCACTTTGGCCCAGAGGCAATGTCTCTGTCATTGGTGTAGAACCCCAGGGTTCACCTCCTGGGCAAGTTCAAATCCCGGTTAGGGCTGTTGGAACCTTCCAGTGGACTCACCACCCGCAGGAAGGAGTTGGTACGGTGCAGTGTGATTTGGGTGGCGGTCATGGAGATTGCTGCCCCCACTACCCGGTAAGGATCAGCGGATAAAAATGGATGCATGGATATATAAGTCGCACCTGAGTATAAGTCGCAAACCCAGTCAAAGGATGAAAAAAACTGGAAAATACGGTACGCACAAGTAAAAACAGGTGTAAACATGCGTTTATGTTGCCTTCCTATTCCACCTATTTCTCATTTTAAGGAATATATATATATATATATATATATATATATATATATTAATCTCAATGAATCATGTTTAGTCAGAATTAATCTACAGTACATCTTACAGTTATATCGGTTAGTAGTGATGTGTCGTTCGTGAACGATTCGGACTAATCTTTCATATGTCTTGGAAGTAATGAGTCCTCTCACTGAGTGATTTGTTCATTTTCATGCAGTACCTTCTCTCGCCACATGCCAGACAGCTGCATAAGCTCAGTTGGCGGGACAAAACAGAAATGATTAGTTCACAACTCTTTTTCATTCTCGTTCATCCGAATCGTTCAATTGTCTCGTTCTTGTTCTCGTGCATCGTTCAGGCTATGTGGCGAGCAGTACATTTGTTCTCGGATTTCGTTTTCATTTGTCACGTGAGAGCTACCTAGTCACTGTCGCGCTGTTAAACAACAATGGCAGGGAGGAGGCAGGACACAAGTCACTTTATTGATGTGTGTATTTGCTTTCTTGGGTTTTCACATGGTTTGAATTGTTGTGGCACTTTTGTGCATTATACTTTGTCAGCTGAAGCACACCATGTTGCCTTCAATATTTAGTGTTTGAGAACTGCAGCCTTCTTTACAACGCCCACAAGAGGGCTATAGCACCACCTCCTTTAGAAATGAATGAAATGGCTAGTTCATCATTTGTTCAATTTAGTGTTCGAGAGTAAAAGATCTGAGTCAGTAAAAATATTTGGTCTTCACTAACAGGTACCCTTTATAGCCAAAAGATTATTACATCGAAAGCAACTGAATGATGTAGGTTTTTTTGAAGATGTTTCACCTCTCATCCAAGAGGCTTCTTCAGTTCTGACTAACTTCTGGGAAATTCTGGTATTTAGCCTCAAAGGGTGGCATATCCGTAACGAGAGTCATTGCAGAATGGGGGGATGGAGGTGTGGTGGACCACAATCTATTTTAAAGAGGGCAGAATGTAAAGTCACAAGGTTAAAGATGTGAATGGGGACAGATACCATACCTATGGACTAATAGTTTCACCTGACTGACACTTTTGGCTGGGTGTCCTTTGAAATGAAAGTGTGGTCTTGTTTTTACCCATTTGGACCCGTTTTTTTTTTTTTCTTAAATTTACGTTCACTCAGCGTCATGTCAACAGCGAACACATGAAAAGCTTAATGTCACCCTTCTAACCATAGTCATTGTTATGAATATTTTTGTTGTATTATTCAGAATCAACAACAAAGCTCTGAAAATATCCAATGATCAGAGATAGAGAGAGGGGAAAGAATGCAGAGAAATAATGGGATCAAAAATGTTAAATATGTTTCCTTTTCATCCCGTTCTTTTTTTTTTTTCTCAGATTTCTCTGTTTATAGTCAGAAGTGCTGAAACTTGTCTTTCTTCACAAGTAGATTCCTGTTCAGTGCTGAGGGATCGCTCAAATTAGAATCTTTGATGTGTGAGAAAAAAAAAAAAAAAAACGTGTTTGAATCTCATGTGAAGAAAGGTGTCGTACTTGTTTTGTTCGGCGCACGTGTGTGTTCGGATAACCCTCCAAAGTGATGAACAGAAGAGGCTATAGCACAAACTCTGCTCTTCATCTCTATTATTTATTTATTTTACATTCGACTGCATTGCTGAAATGTAAAAAAAAAAAAAAAAAAAAGTGCATGTGTGCACACACCTGTGACTGTACCCTTGTGTGTTTCTCTATGTGTGCGTGTTTGCGTGTGTATGCTCCCTGTCCACAATTTCCTCTGGTGTTAAAGTAAAATTACAGTAATCAACAATAACATGTGGACTGTGAAAGAAGGTCAGATGCATGTGCGTTTGTGTGTGAATTGTCCTCTATGCTTGAGATTTTTATTTTTATTTTTATTTTTTTCAAATTGATCCCTACACTTCTTCCTACT